TACATGCAACGCGTGCCTTCTGTGCATTCATTATTTTAGTCTTTGCGTAATTTTGTGTATTCATTGCATCGTAACCATATGATCCATTAAGTGAAATCTTGCAAAATAAACTTTTTCCTTTATTTCCTTCTAATTCAGCCTTTTGTCTTTCGTTCATAAATTCGTTCGCAAATTCATTAAAACAAGTATTTTTCGTAAATGTTAAAATTGATTGAATGTCATCAATGATAAAATGAAATCTGTCTATTAGATACCAAAGATAATAAGAAGAAAATGGTTGATATTGGTTGTGTGTTGATGCTAACTGAGTTAATTTCTCTGTTTCTGGTCAACTGGTAGATTGTTTGATTTCATGTAATTATACATAAAACCCAATTGTTTTTTCATCTGTGATAATATCAAAGTTTCTTATTATTGGTAAAAAGTTTATGTAATCATTAATGTATTTTTCATCAATGTGACCCTTTACTTCAGCCACGAATAAAGTATTTTTCTTCTTAATTATTCCCAGTGCTTTTGCTTTCTTTGTTGCTGTATCACAAATGATAACACCATTCAATCTTCCCGGCATATACATTTTATGGTCAGTATATTGAATGAAATCATGAGGATTAGATGAAAATGATGAAGGATATAATGAATTAAAGTCAACACCAACGAAATGAGTCATAATGTTGGAAGTGTCCTCATTTGATACAGTTTTAGTTTCTGGATTATATGAAAGTTTATTAATGTGCGTGATTCCTTTAAGATTTACTCTATGTTGAACATTTGATAAACCACCAGTAATTCCATTACGGAGGATGTGATAAGCTTCAACTGAATCTAGAGTCATTGGTAAATTATTTTTTAATGTATAATTTCTTAAATTGATTCTTAAACGTTGAACATCTTCATCTTTATTTGATTTTACGACATTGCAATAACAACACATTAACTGACAATTTTCTTTGGTATGTGGTTTTTCATTATCGATTCTATCTAATGTTGGTTTATTAGCATATGTAAACGCTTTACCACACATTTTGCATTTAGATGAAAGGATTAAATCGTGATAGTATTGATAGTCATCCATTGAAACATTGTTTTTAGTATCCCTTTCTGCTTTTTCATCTTGTTTCTTATATGAATCAATTTTATATTTCCAATACTTTTTTGTTAATTCAAAACTTGATTCCACATTTTCTTCTTCTGGATATGTTTCGTTAGGATTGAAGTTCTTATATGCTAACGCGTAACGAATCATTGATGCATTCGATGATAAAGAAAGATTATGAAGCATGTCAATTTTATAAACAAATGTTTCTTCAATAATTTTATCAATTGGGTCAATCATAATTTCAACGTCTTTATTGCAATAATGAATAAAATATTCTAATCTATTCTCAAAATTTTTAGCATCATTGAGATATATTTGATAATCTGAATCGGATATTGTTTCTTGAGTTAATGCTGAATAAAATGAATCTTGAGTGAATGGTTCCACTTTATATAATTCATCTTCGTAATTCTCCCATGTGATGAATTGATAAGGGAAAAAGGATTTAACACGTGATTTATTGTTTCCGAAATCTTGAGTGAATTGGTCTAATGTTCCACCCGCTATATAATTTCTGATGTCAATAAATCTTAATTCATATGGACAGTTTGTTTTCTTTACAATGATTTGCTTAAATTGAGAAGAAGAACCCAGCATTGATTTTATTTTCCATTTTGCAGTGTTTAAATCACGAAGAATTAAATTTAAATCAAACTTTCCCGAATTAAAACCTATGATATTCACTTTATTGAATTCCTCATCTAGAAGTTCTTTAAATGCTTCCTTCTGTTTTTCATTTAATGTATGGGACAAAGTCCCCGCCGTTTGGTCCGTTTGCGGCTTCATTAATTCTTCATATTGTTCAATATTTGATTTAGCAACTAATGAACAGGTTGAAAATAAAAATTCAATCCAATCAGAGATGAACGAATCACTTGATGTTAAGCAAAAATTCCTCGTAAATGTTTTATCACGGTCTACGACCTCGCCGCTTCGGTCTGAAAGACCTTCAGGACTCAAAGAGTCCGTTTGCGGCTTTATTTTGACAGTTGATGATACCATAAATGGTTTTAAGTAAGCGTTCAAAGTTGCACATTCAGAAAGTTGAAGTTCTTCTTTAGTCTCTAATGTTTCGAAGTCAAAAGTAATATAATATCTTGTTGGTTTATAATATTCCTGCAAATTGTGAGCTAATAGCCATTGATATATCTTCTGTTTCGTGATATGTGGTGCATATGGTTGTTGTGTGTTTTGCAATTGAACGTCTTGAATTAATCTTCCATTATTTTCTTTACATTTCTCACAATGCTTTAAAAATCTTCTTTGGTTTTTCCTTTCTGGGTCATCACGGATAGAATATACTTCTTCTTTGCAAAAGGGGCAAACTTTATATCCTGTGAGTGCTTCAACGTCTGTAATTCTGTCAGCGTGAAGTTTTCCACATGGACTCTGTGTTAATAAAATATTTACTGTTTCAAATTCTGGATCTATCATTATTGATTCCACTAATGGAAAGTCTACCTTATTTATGTCTACGTCTTCTGGTTGAGGGTCACAATAATAAAAATCAATATTAACGTTTAACATTCTTGCTAACCTCTCACTTTCTGATGAAATGTCAAATCCTTCATATGCATCTATGGCTTCATTTAAATAACTTCTACGAGTTTTAGGATTAACACCATCAGGAATGTTATAGAAGCGTTTAAATAACCTTCTACCTTCGGCTCTTATTTGATTATCATTCATTTTAGCTGTTCCGTTTTTGTTCATTTATGTAAGAATAAAAAATTAAAAAATAAATAAAAATAAAGTTTATTTTTTTAAAGTCCAGGGCTAAAGTCCATAAAATGAATTAAGAACACATAAATTTTTATCATCTGCGACGTGACGAATACATTTTAATTTACTCAAGAATGCGTACCCTGATACATTAAATCTAATTCCTGTCTTATTTAATTTCACAACTTTGAAAAGGAATGTATGAATAGCTATAAAATGATGAGATGATGTTTTATGGGTTGCTTCCATTTTTTCTGAAATAAATGAATAAATATAATGTTTATAAGTTTTCATATCTTTTATATTCTTAATAACGAATGGTATAGACCTTTCAACTTCGTCTTCCTTCGGTGCTGTTCTTTCATATGAAACATTATTAGTATCTTCAATAATGAAACCACAATCGCATAAAATTTTATATGTACCAATTGTTTCTTTTGATATTTTATCTAACAAATCAAAAACTTTATCAACACCTGCACATTTATTTAAATAATAATTTGTGTAAATATCATGGTCTTCTTTCTTAATCGTATTTGTTGCATATGTTACATTTTTCAGTGCTTTTTTGAATTTTTCAGAATCAAGAGGAGGTGAAAGTAATATACATGGATAATCTCCATCGTCAATAAATTGTAACTTATGTTTATGAATAAATTTTGTGCCTTCTTCTGAAAGTGTTTCATCTATTTCACCATCTAATAAATTTTTAGTAGATTCCAAAAAGTAATTTTTATATCTTTCTTCATGAGATTTTTGAACTTCTGATTCTGAAGCTGGGATATTCATTAAACCCTCTACTTCATTCTCATTATATTTTTCAACTTCTCTTAATTCCTTAATTTTTTCATCTATTTCATCTCTTATTTTTTCCAGTCTTTCAATTTCATCATATTCATCATCTTTAATCCGTTCTTCATAATATTCAGGGAAAACATCAGGTTCTTTAGGTTTTTCTTCTTCAGATGTGGGATATAAGAAATTTATAACATCATCTTTATTCATTTTTCCATCATAATCTAAATCATTTAATAACTCCGCGAATTTTTGACAATTTCTTAAATAATATTTATTAACTTCATAACTCGCCTCCTCTAATATATCCTTTATTTCCTCGTTTGTGAATCCCAATTTTTTAACGTCGTTAGTCTTGACACTCATTTTCATACGAATTAAAAAAATAAATTATTCAAAAAATGTAAGACATGAATTTTTAAATTGGTTTCATACAAAATAAAAATAAATTATTCATAAATGTAAGACATGAATTTTTAAAGTTTATTTTTCATTCATGAATGATAATTATATCTAATTTCTTTTACTCTCTCGTATATACTAGATTTAAAGAATTCAGAACTTTTACCATAATCTCCTAAATGTTTTCTAATCCCTAACGTGTGCCAGTTATTATATGAAACTGTATAAACTTTATCTTTATCTTTACATCTTTCATCACTTCCAATATATTTATATCTCAGTTTTGATTTTGCATTTTCATAATCATTAACGTTTAATAATTCACAGTCTTCCTTTTTAAATAAATGTTTAAGATATTCAGGATTTAATACTCTACGTTTATATGCTCCTAACTTAGTTCTAAAGGTTTTTCTACAAAATTTAGGAATTCCATCCTCTTTAATGTCATCAATGATTTCCATTTCATTATTTTCAATTTCTTCTTCTCGTTTATGAGGTCTTTGATTATGACTCCATTGATTCCATGAAATTAAATATTCTTTATCATTATATTTATACCTCATTAGCTTATTTTGGCTTTCATATTCATTTAATAATTCACAATCTTCATTTTTAAATTGAAGTTTAACCCATTCAGGATTTAAACAATGTTTAATTAATCGCGGAATATCTGACATCATCTATATATAGCTTCTTTTATAAAAGATAAAAAAATAAATTATTTTAAAATTAATGTTAATTTTTTAATGATTTATAAATAAATATATTTTAATGCATCGTCTATATATAGATGTAACAAAAAAAGTCACACAACCCGCACTCATCTACTACTCTCTAATTATCGTGGAAAATTTTGTTGAAATGTGGATAAATATAAATTTCTAAGTTAAATATTTGTTTATTGTAATAAAAACTGATAAAAGCAATAATTCGCAGAAAAAAGAAAAAATAAAACAAAAAATAATAAAATATAAAAAATATATTAGTTAATATTAGATGGCATGAATGCAGATGATGTCAAGTCTGTAGACATAGTGATCGATTTGAATTCGCTCTTAGAGGATGACTTCATTTCGTCTGAGATTTCTTTGAGTGAAAGATTCTTTTCATTTTTATCTTCTGCAAGTTTAAACATGTCTTCCCATTCGTACATTGGCCAAACATTGATTTTAGACCACTGTTCTTTGATCAATGTGACTGTTTCGCTCATCACAAATGAGTTGTCGTAAATAGGATGTTTAGGAAACATGGAGATTTCTTCAAACATAAGTTTAGATTGTGTAACGAAGTTCCTGTTGACTGATATGTCATCGGGGAAGTATATCTGTGGGAATGGTTTCTTCAAAACTGGCTTTTGTTGTGTTAAATCAATAGAAACACCACTCTTGGATACTTTAGTCAAAAATTTCAATGAAATCGCTGCGTGTTCTGGTTCGACGTCGTAACTTGCTCTGCTTGCAATAGGTGCAAATACTTTAGCATCGATTCCTTTGCATGTGATCAAATCGTTGCAAAGTCGGAAAACAACACTTCCGGCGTTACGTAGAAGAACCGACAAAAACCGATCAAATAAATTAACAATTAATGATAAATCAGTTTCATTCAACATCTTCAACAAATCGTTCTTACAAATATCAATAGCAAATGGAGATTCAAGATTGTCAATCATCAAAAGATCTTCATGCATAGTTGAGCCACAAAATTCACTAATAGCATTAAAGAATAAAAGTGACATGGCAAAATTTTTGTTTTTGTCTCCATCGTAAACTAAATGTGTCAAATCGTTTTTGAACAAACTCATGAAGATTTGGTGGATCAATGTAACACTTTCACTTATCAATGCTGTGTTGATAAAATAGTAAAGAATGCCTTTGAAAGTAATTGGTTTCTGTTCGTTTTTGATACCATTTAATGTTGGTTGATGTTCCAACAAAACCGAAATCAAAATCAAAACGTTTTTGATCAATTCGTTCATCTCCTTGCCATAGCAATTCAAAAATGAAACAGAAATGTAAAACAATGTATGATGACTTTCATCGTCATTCGGTATCAAATTTGACAAAATTTTGAATACCTCACAAATATATTGAATAAGTTTGTCTGTTTCTGGTTTCACATCTTGTGTCAATGCTCGGATTTGCCAATCTTTAGAAACTTGATTTGTAACTTCGTATAAAACTTTAGCACAGATTTGGATAGATGAAATCAAGTCATCTAAAATACTTTTTGTTGATGGAATCAAAAGATATGAATACCATGTTAATGCACGTGTTGCAATTGCTGTATCACCACAACACAAGCCCCATGTGATGAATTGTTTTCCAATCATCATTTGACGTTCTTTAGAAAGACTCAAAATATAATCGCGTACATAAATTTGGATGTTAGATCGGTGGATATCTTTGTAATGTGGCAATATCTTCTTCAGTTCGGAGTTTAAGTCTGTTTTAAGTGGATTAACAAGACAAAAAACTAAAACAAAATCTGTAAGATTGTCCGAAATGTTCCAGACATCGTATGTAAGTCGTAAAACACTGAATCCGAAGTTGACGATATTTCGGTATGTCTTTGGTAATTCTTCTAATGAATCCTCTTCTTCTTGGCACTTATTGTCGGATTTGTCTTCTTCATTTTCATCACTCTTTTCTTCATTATTTGAATTGTTTTTATTAAACATGAACAACCACATTTGGAAACTGAAAATGTATTTAAGAACTGGAACAACTTGATCGGGACGATCGGATAATATGTAGCTGGTGATGTTCTTGCAGTTGATGATTGATGAACCGTTGAATTGACCTTCCATGATGATGTATTTAACAAGGAATTCAACAACATTGATTGATGATGAGACTTTTTCATGGGCAATTTTATCGATGATTCCTAAAAGATTAGATGAAACGGGAAGATTCAAAAGAATATCAACAAATGAAACACATGAGAAAATAACAAATTCGTTTGTAGTGTTCTTGAAAACTTTGTTCTTCTTGAAATCAAATGAAACACCATTAATCCATGGTAAAACAATCATAGCAAGTTCCGTGTGGAATGGATAATCTTGCATATCTTGGAACATCCAAAATACAAACTGTTCACCACAAAATGAAAATTCTTCAGCTAAATAATTAGTCAAGATTTTTGTTGCATGTGAACACAATGAATGTAATGATGTTTTGAATATCTGAGAAATAGAATCCAAGAATTCAATGGTTCGTCCTAACAATGGCCTTTTGTTCAAGTAATTACATGCAATCAAACTAACATTAGCAATCAATGAAAATGCTTCTAATCGGATGTTACTTTTATCTTTAGTCAGATAAAGAAATCCTAATGCCAACAAAACACCCGTGTGTTTATAGATTGTTTCAATGATTTGTGCAACTTTCTTGTTGTTCTTTGAATCCTCAAAGATCTCTTCAATACTGTTCAAGAAATCGTTTTTGTTTTCATATGATTTGAAAAGTTTTGAAATTGCTTCGAAATAAATAAATCCATTACTTTCGCATGCATTTTCGATATAGAAATCAATCAAGTCAACAAAATTAGTCCTCAAAAATGAATTAACAACTTTAGTCTCTGGTGTAGTAACTTCATTGTTTAATGGTGAAAAAGTGACATTTTCTGACAGAGTACTCATTTTGAGAGAAATAACTTTTTGGTAAATTTTTCCTTCTTGGTCCAAAATTTCTTTTTTGAGAGATTGGAAAACATTGTTCGGAGGAGACATGAAAGAAAGAAGGGAAGCTAATGTGAGCATAGCAATTTCATCCTTTTCATTTTGTTTGTACAAATAATTGAACCAAATTTTGGATTTGATCGTTTTTTCGTATTCAATTTCTTGGTTGGAGTACAAATCAAAGATTGTCTTGTTGTTTTCGGGGAATTTAAGGAAAATAGTAGATGCTGCAAGCAAAAGATTATGATGGAAGCGATCACTCTCTGCTTTGTTGTTCTCCAAGAAAAACGTCAAAATCTTGATCGAATTATTCTTGTCAGTGTTAGTCAATTTATGAGAACTAGCGTATGCATGGATGCCAAAGCAGATACCATTAGAAAATTTGTTGTTCTTAGAGAAATCAAAGATAGAACTGATATTTTGAATCGACAAACAGCAAAACAAAGCTTCGTACTGTGGTTCGGTAAGTGTTGTTATTGTTGTTAACAAATCCATGGCGTATACAACGTTATCGTCGCATTTTTCACTAAATAATAGAACAATCATGATCAAAGAAGCGATATACGGTGGGCAGTCGATTGATTTCGTGGACTGGCTGACTCGCTCTAACGTATACAATATGGATTTGATGATACTCTCGAAGCTGATATCTTTTGAAACTTCTTTGAGTTTGTAGACTAAGTTTGCGAGGTAGAAATTATAGATATTGTCATATGGTGACTCTAAAACTGTCTGGAAATCCAAAAAATCTGGTTCATGGATTTTCCTATCGTTCGAAAATGTCAAAGCGACCAAACAATGTTTCCACGCGTTCCTTGATACTTCTGGGAGTATGGAGTTGATTGTATCCAAGAGTGGAATGTTCTTGAGGTTTTTGACAATAGAAAACGCTCTTTCTCTGACAAATGGAGAAGGAGAACATAAAGAATAGAAAATCGCGATGCCTAAGTCTTTGGCATATTGAGGATAGAATATGAAGTTCCTGGATTTGGACACTGTTACGATTTCGCTCATCAAATATATGATTCTGTACAAGTTCATTGGAATTCCTAAGTCAATCTTAATCAAACGAGTAAGAATACTGATGAATTCGTTCGCCAAATACTCTGATCCGACAGCTAGTGTTGCTGTAAACCTCATAGTTATTGAGGAAATGAAGTTATCGTTGTTTAAAATACAATCTGGTAATTGTTCGATGGGCGGAAGCTCGCCAAATACGCTGAACACAGTGATACCTTGCAGAATAGTAGGGTTGTAGTTCGATAAATCGCCTGTTCCGAAAACTATATCGTCTTCGCACTTTTTGAGGACTCCGTTGTCTGAATTTACCTGGTATAATGACAGCCACTTCTGCAATAGAGCATAGCTGATGCTGTTATTCTTGACTTTGACTAAAGGAAATCCATCTTTATCGATATTCAACGCGAACATATCGATATCTCCGTGGAAATAGTCGATAGAGTCCATAATTGGAGCTACTACAGCTATTTGAGATGGTTTTTCGGACGATTTGTTCTTGAAATTTGATAAAAATCTGAGAGAACATTCGATTACGAATGGTTCGATTTCCTTTCTCGAATCACCAAGGTAAGGGAACTTGGATCTCGATGAAAGGACTTGTTTAAATGCAAGTAATAATGCTGGAGAATTATTTTCGAGAAATTGAGCATTACTTTGTATGGTTGAGAGGTTATCGACACAAAACATCGGAATATTGTATGAAATCAACTGTAACAAAAATTCTGAAAGTTCAAATTGACAATCTTTGAAAATTGTTGGATTTGAGACAACCAAATCGAACATATACATGATTGAGTTATCATCATCAATATGCCACTGATAGTTCTCGTGATCTCGCTTTAATGCAATTGGAGGAAGATAATGACGGCCTCGCAAGAAGAGAGTCATGCATTTGATGAGCGGACAGCCAATATTGTCTAAATTGATCTTCTTCTTGAAGTACAGATTGAAGTAATTCGGAATTGTCATGATCGTTTTCGGATGTTCGGTAAAAATCTGTAAAATCGCATGCGGAACGAATAGCTCGCCTGTGTATGATGATGAGCTGATCTTTTTCGTTAAATCTGTATAAATTTCGTAAATAAATTTAGAATTCCAAAATTCTTCGTGACTGTCTAAAATTGTACCGAGAAGATTGGTAAGAAATCCGGGTATAATCTCTTGAACTTCAGGGATGCAGTGTTTCGAGTCATAAAGCTTGATTATTGTTTGGAAAAATTTCAAAATTGTTTTATGATTGAAAATAACGGTTGAATCCAATAAAATTTGTGAAAACAACGCATATTTAACTGCAAGTTCCCAAATATTTACATGTTTCGATGGAACTAAATTCTGTTCAATGTAAGTATAGACATAAAGGGGTGACGACTTTGATAATGTGTACATTGCAGTCGACATTTTAATTGCAGCAAAGTAGTGGAATTGTTGGTATTGTATATCTTCGTTTGGCAGGATTAATAAATTTATAATTGTTTGGATCATTAAAGGAATGTCATTTTTTGAGACAACTGGGTTTTCCATAAACATTTCTTGTAGGAAATGATGAATAATCATCTCGTTCATAACGCGAATAGAAATCCTAAAATATTTGCTTTTCAAGGCTTCATTTATTACTGCTCCTTGCAGGAAGGATGTTTCATTACTTCCTATTTGCGGAGGTTCATCACAGTTAATATCGATGACTGGTAAAACCTTAATTAAACTTCTAAGACCGCTAAGGCATGTATTTTTCGTAATTTCTGCAGCAGCACGTACAATATATGGAAGATTATGATCAAATTCCCAAAAGACTTTAAGATAATCGTAAAGGACTTTGAGATTTACGACTTCCTTTGGAGAATTAAACTTCGGTAAAGAAGCAAGGCATTCACAGCAAATTCCATTCAATTCTCGCTTGAATTCCTGCTTATTGAATAATGCGGCAATAATTTTGTTCTCTTGATTTGCCACAAAACTCATCTGGTGAAAAGTTATCGAAGTTTGATTTTCGTAAAATGACAAAAAATATTTCTCATGCTATGTATATTTCGATAGAGATTTATTTGGAAAAATTGTATCAAATCAAAAAAAGTGACTTACTTTTTCAAAAAATTAAACATAAATATCATTGTTGTAGTGAGTTGAATAAAATTGCGAAATAATGTGCAAAATAAAATTATTGAAAAAATTGAAAAGATTGTAAACCACCATTTCGGAATTCAGACCAATCATATTCTCTGCAAAATGAATTATTTAAGCTCACCTAAGTGATACATAAGTTGTGTAATATTCCAAATGAAAGTTATAAAAAAATCAGAATCAAATCATAAGATCCAAGCTCATAAATAACAAGAATAGTTAAAAAGACTCTTAAATCAAATATAAATAGCTTGACTGCTATTGAACAGATCACCATTTGAATAAGGTAAATATCAGGAATGCATTGATGAATTTAATATATTACGTACCATGTGAAATATATTGTGATAACTTATTTAATGGAAAACATCCTTTCTATCACTAAAATATCGATATATTTTTTAAAATTAGAGTTTTAAGGATGTAAAGAATTACTACCATGATTTGATCTTCTCAATTCAAATTTCGCACACGATTAACTTCTGGATAACTGAAAAAAAATCGGTCTGAAAATATATTTTCTGTTTTCCAGCCCAGAATATAAAAAATATTTTATCCGGAAGAATATATGTATTAAAGGAATAAAATATGAGCACAAATTCGGATTTGAACATCTATTTATAAATTTCCTATTTATGTATAACAAAATACAAAATTCGGGTAAGTACCTTCATAACAATTGTGATTAAAATCGGCTAATTAATTTTTGCTTCGGTTGTTTTAACTTCAGGAGCTTGAATCGGGTCTTCGCTATCAGATTTAAGTAAAGCATCTAATTCTTCTCTGTCATATTCAGCAGAACTATTTGAAAAATCAACGTTCTCGAATTCCAGCTTGTCTGGATTATTTAATAATGGATCTGTTGCATAGGGTGGTTGGTTAGCAAGTTTTTCGGCTGCTTCCTTGGCCATTTGTGCTACAACCACATTCTCAAAATTTGAGGCTGGGTCATAATCATCTTTGGTGCAACAAATTCCCATCTTTGGCACTTTTTTTTCATGTCAGTAATTTCACTTTGACAATTTGATCATAAAAAGAACTAGAAACAACTGTTTAGTCGTTGAAAAATCAGAAAATCTAAATTATTGCTCTAAATGTTGAAATAAATTTAGATCATTTTTAAAAATGCATATTAGGATTATCAGACTCTTTTACCTACAAGTATTACATAAGTATTACCAAATATTATCTGATGTCTCTTCAATTTTCACCTTTGAGTTGAAACAAGGAATACTGAATGAAAATTTGAAATATTGGAACCAAATTAAGTCTGTATTAAATACTCTTAAAGGAGAAGGGATGTATGAGATGTAATCTTATTTTAAAGCAGTTGATTAAGATATTTGATATTGCTTTTCAGGCATTATCGATAAATATATGCTTGGGTTGTCTAAGTTATAGTCATATAGTACATGCATGATCATCTAATTAAGAAATACACAACTTTAAGCAATTTCAAAATGAAATTTCAAATATCATTCAATAAAAACATATGAAACAGAGTTTATATGAAACATGCGATTGATTCATTCATTCAGCGAAAGGAAAATTTTTAGGGGAAATAAATTTTATGCTGTTCAAAATAAAAAAAATGAATTGTAAGATTTTACCACTTGCGTTACCAAATGAAGAGAAGAAACCGATTGACAAAGAGCTTATCAAGAATATGCTTATTCATGGAATTGAAGAAAACCCACCTGAAGACAGAGCAATCGCTTGGTTAATTATGGCAAGAATATATCCACTCAATGCAGATGAATGGAACGAAACCCGTAATAAGCATTTCGATGTATATCGTGATTTCATTAAGTTTTTCAAAATGGAAGACTATCATACAAAAACTTTTCCAAATAATGATGAAATTACTGAATTTGGAACAGAAAACGATCAATTGATGGCCTTAATTCATGTTGATATGATAAGAACAGCTCATCATATTCCTTTCTTCCCTTTTCCAGAAAATTCTGACGAAAAAACAACAGATATCCTTGTTCCTTTCAGACCGCATTTAAGACGTTTAGAAAGACTTTTATACATTGCCGCAAGTGTCAATCCAACGCTTTTATATGCTCAAGGATTTAATGAATTAATTTGCCCAATCTTCTTTACATTGCTATCAGCAATTAAACTTTTTGATGATGATTGGGATCTAGTTGAAGCTCTTTCATTCTTTATGCTTCAAAATCTTATACAAATGACAGAATTAAATGAATTATTTACTACACAGGATAAATCATCAATAATCTTACACAGAATGAATCTATTCATGCACTTAGTAGAAATTCATGATCCACGCGAAGCAGAAATCATTAAAAGTTTTGATATCCATCCATTATCGTTTGCCTTTCCATGGCTGAACATTTTATTCTCCCAGTTCTTCATGATGCCCGATCTCGTTATTGTTTGGGATACATTGTTCGCTAATTTCGATAATCTCCTGCAATTTGCTAATTATATCGGTGTTGGCATCATTAAAATGATGGCAGATAAGATATCAGCTGATGACTATATTATGACAATGACAACACTCAAAAAGACAACACTTACTTGTGTTCCAGATATTTTAAGATATGCTGTTCATTATTTGCAAGAAGATAACACTCCAAAGAAGAAGGATTCCTTCTTCAAATCAATGATCCATAAAATGGATTCAAAACTCGATTCAGTTCTCCAAAAATTTAAATAAAATTATTGTTTCTTTTTTATTAGTATTCACACGAATTGATTTTTATTATGATCAAATATTCAAGATATTATAACATCTTGAAAGTCGATATTTATAGAATATTTTTTGTATATAACGAAATATGATATCCAGTCCTATATATGACATCATTAGATGTATTACTGTTTTCAACATGAGAATACTTACCTTTTTTTTCTTCCAATCAAACGAGAAAGATGCCAATGGAGTAGCGAAAGAATTTATACAGGCGTGTAAAGAAAGGATTCAAAGGAAGTTTACGGGCGTAACTTCACAAGTGTAAGAAATATGTTTAATGCGCATTCGAGGATTGGTAGTAGCCTTCGAATTGGGCATTTAGCATATAAGAGACTTTTATCTTCCACATATTTTGTTTATATTCTCGGAATTTCAAGTTTATTACTTAAAATATACAAGTATCCGCCAAGATTTCTAGGCCCATTCGTATATGATATAGATAACCCGCATGATTATGATGTAATGGAGATTCCAAATACAGAATTCATCGAAAATTTTACAGCAAATTTCCATCCAGGACTAGATAATAGAATATATGTATCACACACAACATCTAACGAAGGACATAAGTTTAGTTTTAATGGAGTGATTGTTCAACACGTTAGATATTATCATTGTAAAGGCGCAAACATTGCAACGAAAGGAGTTGTCGTACAAGGTAAGCTATTTTATCCAGCAAGACACTACATAGATGTTCCTCAAATACCTCCGAAGCCTCATTCCTTTAATTGCTACGATAAAGTTGTTGTAGGATTCTCTTATCATTTAGAATATGGTCATTTCATACAGGATATGCTTTGCGGTATATTAGTCATACCATCAGAAATTGCCTTAAATGCAGAAATTTTTGTAAAATTTAGAAGTGATATTGCAAGCAAATACTTCGAATTTATAGGATTTAACGGATCCAGAGTACATGAGCTTACTGATGAATGGATTTACGCAAATGATATGTACATGGCCGTTTCAGATTTCGGAATTAACTCATTACATGTTTCTTGGGGCCACTTTCACGATATTATATACGAAAAGTACGATCTCGAAAAAATTGTCCCTACACAGCACACAATTTATAATAAACCAAAAGGATTATGGGGACATGTCTCTAATATGCCTCAGATTTTAGAATGGACACGTGCACAGTATCCACAATATAAATGGATTGAATACGATTACAAAACTATCACTAATTTGTCATATGTTTCTAAAGTTATTGCAGCAACAAAAATTTTCTTTATAAACTCAGGATCTTGTGTATTTAACTGCATTTATTTGCACAAAGATTGTGGAGTTTACATCCTTGGCAATAATTTATGCGACAGAAACGTTTTTGTTGGTGCATATACTTTACATTTATGGCTAATCAATGTTGCAAGTCCTGGATTTAGATGGCATATGGATGTACCAACAGAATTCGATATTGATTTATACAAACAAACGCTTCCTGATTTCTTAGATGCAGTTTATAAAGGAGCATGGCCGAAAGATGTATCTAAGAGAAGTAAAAAGCTATTTGATGCTGAGGAAGTATTTCGTCCCTTTAGAGACTTGTTTGTTAGATCTAATAATGTTCAATTTGTTAGGAAGGTATTATATTAAGAAATTATGTTTCATTTGTTGTTAAATAAAGGAATATGTTAAGTTTTAAAAACAGTTTCAATTTTTAAAAAGTATTTTTATTGTTTCGGATATCTTCAAAGCGCAATCTTGGTTTTAGGGAAATGAATTAATATGCATACATTAAAGAGAGTTTATTTTAAACCAAAACATAAAAAATATTCTTTATTCTAAAATTATATTCAAATTTGCAAAAAAAAGTCCAAAAAAGATTACAAATGAGATTTTCTGAAGAAACTGAATTTCTGTGGCTGCTGTGGTTGAACTTGGAAGTGAGATTTAATGACAGAAAAGTAATCTGAAACTGTATCGAAGAAAGAGCCAGCTTTATGGTCAAGTCCGCTGAAGCATGTAATATTGAATGAGTAAGAAGTCTGATAAAGTCCTTTTCTATTAGGAACAAACGAAATTGAAGCGTGGCCTAACAAAGTATTTTCAAAAATAGAAGGATCAGCACAGCAAACGATAGATCCTGTTGTATCAGCTTTAAAAGCAAGATTTCCCCACCTTTCTGACTTGAGATTTGCACATCCAGCAAGATTTACGCCGAATTCACCATCTTCTTGCTGTGTGAAGTCTGCAAGGAATGACAATCTCGTAGAAACAACTGGATTTGGTAATTCTTTCTCACCACGAATTGAAAACGAAAGATTTGGAAAAACGTCTGATAAAACAGCAAATTTCATGTTCGCAGCTTTGAAATCTCCCATTGTGAGGAATCGTAGATTTGTTGGATAGCCGTTAAACTTAATAGATTTCCTTGAAGGTTTTAATTGGTGCGCTGTAACGATTCCAAGAGAAATATTTCCGAATGAGTATATACCTGAGTATTCTAGAAGTTCTTGTATGTTTTGATAGCGAAATGCAAATCCATATTCATCGTTATGATGTACTTTAAAGAGAAACTCATCAAACATGCGTGGTGAGAGCTTCTTTCTATCAAATATCGTGTCATAGTGTCCTTGGACAAGAAATGTTGCACCATTTGATGTATTTTCGATTCCAATAATTCCGTTTGTTTGTTTTGTCTTAGAATCAAAGTTAACAGAGGCTTTTACTGGTCCTAATTTGCGTGCTACACTAAATGAATAGTCTTCTGCTAACAAGGGTGAAATATAAAACGAATATTGGTTGAAATCTGTTGAATCAAATATCTTTAAGTTAAATTCGTTCTTCCCTTGTGGTACTTTGCAGTCAATAACGCCAATTGGTGTTTTAATTAAAGAACTGAAACCGAATTTTCGAAGTTGAGTGTTTGTAACAATAGAAACAGTAGATCCAATCTGAGCAAATGTAACACCAAGTGTTCTTGGACACTTAATTGAAAGATCACGCTCAGCAATCTCAGAAAATCGACTAAAATCCATTTGAAGTGTAATGAATTTTCTATCGTCTTTTTATGGTTTTTTATGCTACAATCCACAAATTTAATGCTAATTTGGATTTTAGATTGCTGATTCATACATACTTGCATTTATATCTGAAAAATCTAGCTTCATATAGAATAAGATTGGGTGTTTATTTTGGAGGAATTGTAGGTTCATCAGAAAATAAATTAGAAATAAGAATATTTGGAATTTGAATAGAATCTTTTTTATTTCTAATTTCAATTTCGCATAAAAATGAAGAATATAAATTAGGAAGAATGATTTCTGTCATTGACTTTGATTTCGTAATATAAGTTGCATTTGTTGGAAATGTATTATCTGTTTCAAAATGGCATTCATTTACAGTAGCTGAACGTCCTTCTCGAAAATAAAATAAATTAGAAGCTTTGTTTCCTTTGAAGAAACTATGATTTACTGAAAGTGTAGGATATTCGTATAGACAGAAAATTCCACCTGTTTTTTCTAAAAGTTTGTTATCAATAACATTACAAAAATAGAAATTTTGTTTTTTAGAACTATGAAAAAACAACATTGTTTATTTGATGAAAGATTATCGAAATTACTAAAATTTGTTGTTGAAAGAGAAAATGGTTCCCAACTAACAAATGCTGCATTTACATCTAGTTTTGAATCAGAGATATTTATTGATGAAAATAGAATAGATCCATAAAAATGATATAAAACTGATTGTTCTCCTGTATTTTGAGTGAATGATGATTCTATAACAAAATTCTTGTGGTTATCATCATTTGTCACCCAAATATATGAATGAGATCCTGCTCCATTTGATAATGGGCTCTTAGATTCATAACTGCAGACTTTGTATTGAACAAACGATCCTGATTCATAAAGATATATGGATCCTCCACTATCTGAAGAAGAACATTTAAAAAAAGAAGAAGTGGAACAAAGAACTTTGGTATCTGCATTTGGATTAGAGATATTAATAACACCATTTGGACTAAAATCTTCGAAAAGAATGTAATCAACAAATACGTGTTTGTTTTCAGTGACTGTTCGACTTGTAGTAACATGTGTGTCAATGGATGCAGGATCATAGAATCTCTTCCATATATCATTTGAAGGTCCTGAGAAATGGAAGCAGGCCTCTCTACTACTCCCGAGATTTTCTTCTTTTTCTTTTTCAAACAAATATGTTTTTTGCTATCATAAACCGGGACACATATATTGTCTACTCATAAATATGTTATTTTCTAAATTTAGGATGCATGAATGTAAAGAACGATTATTTTCTAACGCCGCGGTTTTTTTGTAAAGGATTACATTGAATTTTTTTAAAAAATGACGGAACAGCCTGTATCAGCTGAACAACCTGCACCGCCACCTCCAAAGCCAGTTGAGCTTTCTCCTGAAGTCGAGAGACTCATGAAGATTTCCATGATTTCATTTGATCAACCTTTCACAACTGGAGATTCACCAGCACCAGAACCAGACTTCACAGTTCTTGGAGAATTCCATGGAAAACCTATTTCTGAGTCATACAAAGAAGTGGTTCAATCAATTGATGAAACCGAGTTCAATTTACTTATTTTCAAGCCACAAAAGATCATTGTTGAGTTCAAGAAGTACTTCCTTGAGAAAATACCGTCCAAAGTTTTCTTCCCGCTTCTCAACACATGGCCCCCAGCCATTTCACAAGCTGCTCCAACAGTTAAACCTATGGTTGACTTAATTCAGAAGATGATTCAAGCATCAACTCAGCCAACAAAGATTATGGCATGGTTCATGAGCTGCATTGCTCCTCGCCACTTCAGTTCCTCTACAAATCTTCTTGCCGCCACGTGGTGCAAATCTAAGAAACCACAGTGGGTTCTTTTGAACTCGGACTCAGAATTAATCATCTGCGAAGAAGGCAAGAAAGGCTTGTATGACGAGAAGAACAAAGGCAAAGCAGCTAAAGCAGAAAAAGTTGGTGAAACAGATCTTAAAATTTTCAACGAGAAAGGAACCGAAATCTTCACATTTACACCAGCAGACCCAGCCACAATCGAACTTTGGCTGTCCGCATTCACAGAAAACAAACCAAACTTCATTCAATTTTTAACTACACCAGATCTTCAAAAGATCCCCGGCAGCTTGAACAAAGCCATTCTCTCAGCATTCAGTGCTGTCAACAGCGATGCAATTTGTGCTCTCTTCACTCCAGGAACGATCAAACAAGAAGATATCTCCAGCATGATGACCGACGTCATGAATATCTCACAATTCAACCAGAAAGTCAATCTCAACCTCAACGCGATTCTTACAGCCATCTTCGAGCAGCCGAAAGCTACAGTTGACTACTTATGCAACGAAGATCCACTTCTTGCATCGTTATTCTCATACTACGGCCAAAACTACGCAGCTCCATACGCGGCGAACTTCATCCGAAAAGTCGCAAAGTATTTCGAATCAAAAGGACCCATTGATTTCGAAAACATTGATCCGAATGAATTAGAAAAGACATTATTTACATCATTGAAGTACATTCTTGCAAGTATCCAGTTCATTCCTCCGAAAATCCAACATCTTTGTTCGATGATCAAATCATACGCCACAATCAAGTTTAACTCATATGGTGCAGTCTTCCGCTTGTTATCTACATTCTACACCAAATACCTTCTCTGTCCAATACTCCGTGGCTGGGCTACCGGTGACAAACCAACGAACAAAGCTATGACAGCACTGATCAAGACAGCAATGACACTTGGAAAATACGAAACAGAATTCCCTCGTTTCGCACAATTTGACAAACGTCTTTCAAAACTTTACAAGACGATAGAAAATTTCATTCTTGAACTTGCAGTTATTTTCAACAACAACAATGGAGAGATTGACCACAACACGCCACCATACACTGCACCAGAGTCATCAGTTGTTGTCCAATCATGTGACAAACTTTACAATTTGATCACAAAGAACATTTCAACAATTTCACCAGTTATCAAGTACCAATCAAGTGACAGATGCTTTGCAACATCAACACTTGGCTGGGCATTTGCATCATCAATACAAGTCTACTTCAAGACATATTACGAAGATGAAAGGAATGATGAAGAAAAAGTTTCACCATCATCAACAGTTTTCGATCAATCAATGGAACCACACATGTGCACATCACCAGACAAAATCCCACAGGAAGAGTGCAACACAGGAAAGTCATATGTCCGTGTCAAGAAGCGGGTTAAAATGACAATCAAAGGAAGTGACAATGCAGGTGACCAAGTCATTGCTGTCTCCAGTGAAGAAGTTGTTTCACCTGATGGAAAGAAGAAGACAATCGTCAAGAAGAAAGTCCACAGAAAGAAACAACCAAGTGAAGGAAAAGTTGACAATGAACAAAAAGAAAGTGACAAAGAATCCGTTAAAAGTGACAAAGAATCAGTCAAAAGTGACAAATATTCTGTCAAAAGTGACAAAGATGAAGTTAAAGGTGACAAAGAATCAGTTAAAAGTAAACAGTATGATGAAGAAGTCAAAGAAGATGACAAGGAAGAGAATAGCTCTAGCTATTCACTCAGTTCACAGGTAAAAAATGAGGAACATCATTCTGAAAAGAATTCATCTGATTATTCAATTAATTAAACAGTTTTTTTCTCCTCTTTATTTTTATGATAAATTTGATTACTTCAACAAAGTTTTCAGTTCATTGAAAAAGTTGTCTACAGTGACTACCTTAAAGGAATCATATGACAAATGTGGTGTTATTTTATACACATTCGATGATCATTTAACCATTCAAAATGATTTGATAATCAAATTAAAAATTAAATTATTCATTAGATGTTCATTATGAAAATACTATTTATAATTCAATCATGAAAGATGATATAAAACTATTTATTTCATTCACAGAACGAGAAGGATTCTCTGAACATCGAAAACTCAAAAGTGATTTCTATCCACCTTCAAGATTCGGATATACATTTCTTGAATTATGCTGTTATCACGGCTCAGTTAATTGTTTTAAATTTTTACGAACTAAATTCAATTCAAAAATCACTAAAGAATGTCTTCAACTTTCATTTTTAGGGAAGAATCCATACATTATCAATGAATGTTTGAAAGATCAGAAACCGGATTATAGTTGCATGAAATATGCAATAATATCGCATAATATTGATTTTGTTTGTTTTTTAGTGAATGAATACAAAATTGAAATTGACTTAAATTCATGTTGTGAATACTATAATCTTAAAGCCTTTTTGGTTTATTTAGATCGAACTCAAGATGTTGACGAATGCTTCACATATTCGTCAAGTTTAAATCTTCCTATTTTATGTGAATATTTACTTTCACATTTTGCAAATATAAATGCATTAAATAGATCTGGGAATTCGGCTCTTCACATAGCATCAGAATATAATTTTCTCTCGATAACACAATTTCTTCTTGATCATGGAGCATTTGTAAATATAAAAAATCATCAACTCCCCTGTTTATTGCATCAGGAAAAAATAATAGAGAAGTAGCAAAATACCTTCTTGAGCATGGTGGCGATATTCATGCAAGAAATAGAGAAGGTAGTACTGCATTACATGTCTCTGTTTGGAATAATAATATAGATGCTGCTGAATTTCTTATTTCTTTGGGAATTGATATCAATGCCAAAAACAATTCTGGATGTACACCCCTCCATTTAGCTAAAATGAAATATAATCAAGATTGTATCCGTCTTCTTATATCACATGGAGCAGATATTAATATCAAGGATAATTATGGAAGGTATGTTTATAAAATAGGAGAAAAATATCAATTACAAAATTCATCAGTAATTCCCAAAAAATGAAGTCTATGATTTATATATATATACATATACTGGATTCAATTTAGATCTTATTCATGAAGAAGAATCTTGAGAAGTTCAATTATTTTACCATTATGAGATAACGTCAGAAAAATAATCCAATTTTACAAAAATCACTCGTTACTAGATGTAATTTTGAATGTAACTTGGGAAAGTTTGAGAGCAGATATGGCCTGCATAGTACCATAAATCATCCCTACAAGTTTTACTTCCATTTGTCTAGGCAATGGTTCAAATTGAGAAGGTGTACTAAGCCCAATTTCAACAACAAAAAAAACGTATTTTTTGGGTCTTTGAATGGATGTTTCAACTCACAAGAATGAATTGTTGGAAACCAAACTTTCAGGCTTGATCCAATGCATCATACAGGACAACTTTTGTTTCAAAGTTTGCCTTGTTATATTCAAAAATTCACCAAACTTGTAAACTATTGAAAATCATACTTGTTTGAAGAAGAAAAAGAAAATCTCGGATATAGAGGAAGAAAAGAATATTTTCATTTCTCAGTGCCTCCAAACGATATCTGGAATAGGTTCTATGGTCCTGCATCTATTGACACGTTTGTTAATACAAGTAGAAATGTCACTGAAAATAAAACTGTTTATGTTGATTACGTTCTTTTCGAAAATTTTAGTCCAGATGGTGTTATTCGAATTTCTAAACCAAATGATGATACAAAAGTTCTTGTTTCAACTTCTTCATTTTTTAAATGTTCATGTAATATGAGTGGAGGATCCATATTTCTTTCATCATCAGGATCATTTGTTCAATACAAAGTCTGTAGTTATGAATCGAAGACAACAGTATCAAGCTTGAAAGGATCTCATTCATTTATTGAAGTGACAAATGATGATAACCATAAGAATTTTGCTATTGAATCATCATTCACTCAAAATACAGGATATATGTCAGTTTTATCTAATTATTATGGATCTATTCTATTTTCATCAATAAATATCTCTGATTCAAAACTACAAACGATTGCTGCGTATCAGTGTTCAACACCATTTTCTCTTTCTACAACAAATTTTAGTAATTTTGAGAATATTTCGTCAGATAGACAATGTTGTTTTCAGTTAATCAGTAATATGCACAATATCTATTTTTGTAATTTTATTGATAACAAAGTTCTAGAAAATGGTGGAATATTTTTGCCATATTTTGCTACACTTTCAGTAAATCATAGTTTCTTCAGAGGAAACACAGCTTCTAATTTATTTTGGTTTGGAGATGGTACTACAAATGAATGCCATTTTAAGGATACCCTTACGTGTCAGATTTTTTGCGCATACGAAGAAGTCATGCTAGACATGAGCTATAAACCTGAAATTTTAGCAACATATTTAAAACTTTTTAAACTACAATACACTTTAATATTCAAGAACAAAAATATTCTTTTTAGAAATTACATAATTATTTTATGTGAAATCTATATAAAAACATATTTTGCGAGCGTAACTTTTTTCTTTATAAGCACCTTATATGACTGATAAACTGTGAAGGCACATAATTGTTAATTCATAGAGTTGATATGTTTCCAAAATTGAGAGGAAATTTGAAAATTGAATACCCTTTCAATTCAATTTTCAAAAGATATCAGCTCCTTCAATAATTGAAGGACGATTTTGATCATTTGCTCTTAAAACAAGTATGCCATGGAGAAAAAAGTTACGCTCGCAAATCTGAAATATAACTATCATATAAAAAATTAAATTTCTAATTTTTTACTCTATAGATATTATTGGCCACTTGTGTAATGCATAAAAGTTTATGTCATATGCATACATTTGGAAGTATGGGAGAGGGAAATTACTTCTATGAGGCACTAGGATTTTTAAAAATTTCTCTATCGGACTCACCATTCAATTTCTCGAAAATTAAAAAAAATCAATAATAGCTAAAATGTATTATGCATAACAAATTTTAATGTTACACGGTATTTTTTGAACTTCATGACATGAATTTTCTTTATATTATTTTTTTTTGGATTTTCTATGATTTATGCGATAGGCTGGAACAACATTGTAAGTGCAATGATATCATTTATAGAGAAATCTAAAACTTCAGCATTCAGAACTCGCAACCACAAAAATATTCATTTGCTAAGTAAGTAAAGTTGATTAAGTTCGACACTTAGCTTTTATACGTAAAACCAAGTGTGTATTGTTATTTCTTGTTAAATTATTGAGAAAAAATAAATTGTAAGAGAAACGATACTGATTATTGAAATAATATTGAGGGTAGCTGCAGATTTCTTCATTAACATGCCGGAAATTTGTTAATCTTGGTTTTCTATCATAAAATCTGTCGAAGAATCTAAAAACGGAAATATGAAATAGAGATCATGTAAATCTAGAGTATCCTGTCAGAAAAATAGACTAAGCATGTAACCCTTTTTTGGTCATAAACACTTTTTACCACTTAGTCATACAGATGATCATTAAATTTAAACGAGCACTTTTTGTCAGAATTTATTCTTTTACAAAGACAGAAGATTTTAGTATTATTTAATATTAGTGCTGTAGCAAAATTCAAAAAACGGTGAAAATTCAGTGAATTTTTGAATTCACATTTTTTTTTCGACATTTTTCTTGATATATCCATGCACATTAAGAACACAGCTTTGATACGCTTAAAAAAGCATATTTCATATGAAATTGTTAAAGAAATAAACAATTTATATAAAAATTGCACTTATGGGCAGTTTAGATATATAATTTATATATAACATATATACAAATCCATAGACAAAGTGCAATAACTACAATGTTGTAGAAAATTACAGCAGAAATACTGACTTTTTGAAGGATAATAAGAATTCTTCTAAATGTTGTATTTTTATAATTTGATTGATTTTTTTACTATTTCATTAATCTTTATGAATAATAATTATTTTTAATATATGTGCTATTAAAATTTCAAATTTTGACTAATATATCTAAGTTATCTGAACGAAACATTTAGAAAATATCATACTTACATTGAAATAGCAAGTAGAGCATATTAATAGCAAGTTTTTGGCTTTATATCTATCATCTATTGTTGTTTGATCAAACAAAATTCACTCTATTATATGGTGTCAATTAATTAAAACAATTTTTAATAGTTATTTATTTAGTGCGAATAAGTGCAAACTCATAAATGAATAACTTAATAGTAGAAATGAATTATCTGATATAAATCTCACATTTTGTCCATCAGAAATACTTTAATTGCATACGCATAACTATTAGTAATACGTCTGGAGTGTCAATTAATAACAATCCCACAACAAGTAAAATTCAGATTTTTATTAAACTTATTTTTTCCTAAAAGTTTTCTCAAATTACTATATATACATATGTGGATAAAATAATAGTAATATTGTAAAAAATTAGATAATTTTTTTTATTTGAGAACCTCTCAAAAGTTCATTCAATTTATCAATTGTTTCAGTTTGATGTATATTCATTTCTGGAGCCTAAAACTTTAGCAATCATGACAATATCATATTCTCTTTCTAACTACGCAATGTAAGGGTATCCTTAAATCAGATAATACATTTAATAAGAACGGAATTAATCAGAAATCAAAGTCAATGACAGAAATCATTCTTCCGAATTTACAAGTAGTAGGATATGATGGGTTTAGTGACTTTTTTTGTAAACGTAAGAATTCATGCAATATCGAGCGATTTTGTATCATTTTTTTTTAACATATGAAGTAAAAAATGTATGATTCTTACGGTTTTTATTCTTATGTTTTTGAATAAATCAAGATTTAAAAAATTTTCAAAATTGTAAGACATTTACACTCAGCCCATACATAATGAAATAAAAAATAAAAATTTTTTTAAAAAATAAATCATTAAAAAATTAACATTAATTTTAAAAGAAGCTATATATAGATGATGTCAGATATTCCGCGATTAATTAAACATTGTTTAAATCCTGAATGGGTTAAACTTCAATTTAAAAATGAAGATTGTGAATTATTAAATGAATTTATGAAATCAATTATTTGATTCATTCTTTCTTCAATCTCTTCTATTCTTTTTGTTAAATCATCAATTTTTATTAATGAGGTGATTCTTGATTGAGGAATAGATTTCAAACTAACCACCCCCTTTATTTTTGAAATTTTGAATCCATCAACTTTAAACATTTTATTCAATTTACATGTTGTCAATTCTTCAAATAATTGTTATATACGAAAACGATAAAAACAGTTTGACAGAAAAGTGACAACTTTACGTGTCAAAAATATAAAAAGTGATATTTTATTCATCATTATCTTCTTCATAATTTATTTCATATTCTTCGTCTTACCAACAAAAGATGGGAATGTGAACAATTGCGGGCAATTTTTAGCCATTTTGGCTTGGAACTAGAGCCTGCGAGGTACATGGATAGTATCAGTACCTCACAGGCTCTAGTTCTCTATATGGCGCCGAGAAATTTTGGTGAAATGTGGTCGCATTTCACCAAAATTTTTTCGGCGCCATAGGATGAATTGGAGGGTGAGAGATATTATTTCATACAATACTACTCTCACCCTCCAATTCCCAGCCAAAATGGCTAAAAATTGCCCGCAATGTGAACAATTGCGGGCAATTTTTAGCCATTTTGGCTTGGAACTAGAGCCTGCGAGGTACATGGATAGTATCAGTACCTCACAGGCTCTAGT